GCTCTATAATGTCTATAAATTGATCCTGAGGCTGGAATAATCAATTGATAATAATAGTTGCTCAACGAATTGTAGCATATCTTTGGTAGCCCTTCAACCGACTCACCGCGAGCGTTAATTGTTGGATGTAATCTCAAGTTGACCAATGTATTAATTGTAGCCCTTCATTTTCAAAATTCAAATTTCAGAAATATTGCAACAAATGAACTGAACAACCCAAACGGCAAACATGTACGGGTCATAAACTATAGGAAAGGGATTTTAATAGGAGCCAATGTTTACAAATAATAATGTCCTATCTCATCCCCATGGTTGCAAATATATGGCACCATTGAATAAAAGGACAGTAAATATGTTGACAATTAAGGCAGTGTAGCCAGACCGCCGAGGCTGCCGACCGGATCCACATGCCAGTATTTAATATCCATGTATTATTTCAAGAATATCGGAAAAATATACTCCATTAGTACCAATTATATAAGCTTGTTTCGTTTTTTCACACGGATTAAGAAAGTATTTTTAATGTCATTGGAAAAATAATTTTTGCCAAGATCTTTCCTAATTTACCCATATTTAATTTTCAGTATATAAAACTAAATCATGGTTAGAACTAATAAAGAATTTGAAGGAGAAGAAGAAATGAGAATTGTTCCATGTTTTCAAGATGTAGGAAATGTGTGTATTTGGATGATTTCAAGAAGTTGGCATATTAAGTGAGGAAATTTAATAAGGGTATATTGGTAAAAGAATACAATAAAATATTCTACATTAAGAAACATGCCTATATATTTGGGACAAGAGAAAAAGGAAACCCAGCCTATATAATTGGGATGGAGGGAGTAACTTTGATTCGACTATGGAAAATTACTTGCCAAAAATATTAAACATTGACGTTGTTCAATCAAAAAGCAGCTCGTGAAGAGCCATTTCTTTTCGATTAAATTAACAAATCCATGCTTGCGTAATTCTTAACATTCTAGAGAACTTATACTCTATATTCAACTAGATAACTTTTTTTTTTTTTTTGGTTGACGTAGAACCCGCAGTTGCTACCTACCAATGGAGCCCGGGCCACTCTGAAAGGATGGAGGCCCGACCACTATGAGTGCATACTAAGTAAACCCCACTCTATATGCAGTAGCTCGCAAACCACACGGGAGAGGTAAACCGCACTAGGCAAACCCGATGCGACAGGCTCGACCGAGGAAGTGTTGGCAGATGATTCGAAAAGCAAAATATGCTAGTCTAGTTTAGTATCTGTACCAGTGACCACTGCTGAACCCAACAGCATCTCCTCCAATTGGCATTCCATTCCGAGTCTGTCTAAGCGACCGGATCCTGGATAAGCTTTGTTGGTGA